TATATATATTATATATATACATATATTCTTATTTGTGTTCTCATATATGTCTAATAAGATTTTTATTGTTTAAAAATTACAATCTTAATTAAATATAAATCTTTTATTGTTTTTATTCCTTTGCTTAAAAGTTGTAAATTGATAAATAAATTTGTCGTATAATTTCGCAAAAATATTCGCAAATTTGAATCGTTTTGTAATAGTCTAGAACACTTTCATTCTCAACCAAATAATTTACACGTTTATCTATTGCTCATTATTGGATTTACAGTCCCGTGGGAGGAGGACGACCGCCACCTGGGCCACCAGTTTTTCCAGCACCGGCTCCAACGATTGCACCTGCTACCACTGTGATACCACCAAGCACTATACTCGGGTAAGCATTATAACGTTTATCGTTGCTGCACGTTGACACTCAGCTTTTATTTATTTATTCAATTAATTGCGTTTTGTTGCGTTTTCCCTACTTTTTTATTTACCATTAATTGCGCAATGAATACCGCACGACATTAAATGGCGAGCTCTTTCGAATTTTATGTTCGCTCATTTGGCTAATGTTGGCGCGCTCAATGACGGGTCACGATTTGTATGCATTAACTTTTTGTCATGAATTCTGATCGTTCATCTGCTATTATACGGATGATTCATGGAACGTCCAATGCTATCACATTTTCTATATTTAATGCGAAATCGATATACATCAATCGTTACCCGTTCATGATGCGGTCCGGCGATTCGTCATCTCGCGCATCATTGTCCACTCCTCCTCCTATATTTTGTTACGTTCTAGCGTCATTTTTTGATATTATTTTTAGTTTAAAAAAACGATATCTCTTCATCTCGTATGCTATCACGTGCACGCTTGAATTTGCTTTTTCGATGTCGTAGGTCGCGCGATTCTGATGCGCGATTGTTGTTGCTGAATGTATTCTTGTCAGTTACACAGTTTTGTTTCTCTCACGTCGTGTTACGACGAACACTCGTACGTTGGTAGAAAAATGACGCGAACGTAACTTATGGAACAGTGCCGCGGTGGTTGCAGCCACGAGATGGTAAAGTCCCCTGCAACTGCAACGACTATGGCATACCCTACGGAGGAGGAGAAGCGATCGCACCGTCACATAGGCGACACCATTGGTGACGACGACGACGATGACGACGACGATGATGATATCGTCCAAAGCAATGGTAACGGCCATGAGGCACACAGTCGTGACTTCGTCATATGTCGCGTCTGCGATTTCAAGAGCGATAGAGATGATGATCTTGAGTCATATTTAAATGATCACAATAACGGGAGTAGAAACGATGCTATCGATACATTTAATAATGATTTTACATGTAGTTGGCAGCTACCATCGACGTCAAAAGCCGCTGATGAACTTTTGGAATCATCATCTTCGCAGGAATATGTAAGTATCCTAAATGAAAAGGAAAATCTAGGAATTGAAAATGGGAGCTCGCGATGTACAACATCGAGGCGGAAACAAAGTCGGCCTCGACAAGTTATACGGCAACCTGATTATCAAATGAGATATTTGATACCCGCTTTAGGTTTGCAAAATATAAGACAAAAGTTAAAAATTACTAAAACTACTAAAAGTGTTCAATCTCAAAAGAGATCGACAGCACAGAGAATGTTTAAGTGTCATTTGTGCCCGAAATATGCACCCGCAAGAGGGAAGATTCATCGGCCATACCACACCAAAGCGTCATTAACATTACATATGTTGTGGCGACACAAACGAAAATTCTGGCCAGTCAAGAACCTTGTAACAAGACCTTGTAAAGAAGAGTCGTCACCGACTGCCTCTTCAGTTACGGTTACGGTTTTTACTAACAAAAATTATAGATATAACAGATAACAGCAAATCAGGCTGTTATCTACCATCACAAAAACTATAGTAAGTTATAATTTTTAACTAATTGTAAGTCTTCGAGTAAAATTCAGACAAATAATTTTTCATTAAAAAACTTGATAAATTTTACATTATTCTACTTAATAAAATTTGAATATTGATATTTTTAGTAATATTTTCTGACCTTCTCATTGCAAAAGATTAATGTAAGAATTTATGATTCAAACTGTTTTCTCAATGCCGGAAAAATGATTTTAATTTTCGCAAATTAAATTTCTATATGTATACTTGCACAAAGTATATAACATAAGTATGTAACATAATAGTTTGCGTTAATGAAGTTTGAGAAATTTTATGGTTTTAAAATAACGTAATCTGTTTTGTAGAGTTGAAAGAATGAAAAAATATAAAAAGATGTACGAAGTCTATCTCATTTGTAGAACATTATCAAGAGTGATAAAATCACTGTTAACGGTAGATGCGTTCCTAAGAAAGATATTCTGAAAGAGATCGTATATTTCCTTTATTGTGTATAAATTCAATAATAATTTTCTTAAATACTCTTATTACGTATGAGATAGATATCGTATATATAATTGAAAGTATTTTAATGTAACTTATATAAGAATATGTAAATATGTTTTTTCCACAATAATCTTAACTGCTTCAACGTTAGATAAGATGTTCAAATTGATTATAAATGTTATATAAATGATTTTTTCGGTTGGATATGTGAAGTGTAAAGTGTAAGATTTCATGTAAAATTAAAGGGAAGGAAGTGAAAAATTTTTGATAACTGATATGTTAACCTTAAGTTCAAATTATCGAATTGAATTTCAAGTTTTGAGTCAAACTTCATGAGCATTTCTATGATTCACATTAAGATTTCAATTTTGTGCATTTGTTATGCAATTAAATATACATGCGAGAGTTTGACTTTTTTAGAGCTTGTCTCTAAGTTTGATTTGAGGTTCGACTCGAGGTCTTCCATGACTTTACAATCTGGATCTATCTTTATACATACATCCTCCTTCGAAACACATTTCATAAAAGGAAAAAGGTTAATAAAGTCGTTTTGAACGCTTTACAAATTTCCAGTAGGTAATGTTTGTTTATTGTGTAATCATTAGGAATGTCAAAAATAATTATTATACAAGGTGTTCTGGAATTTAAATGTCAAAACTTCGAGAGCGTATAAGGAATCGATAAACTAAGAAAAAAAGTCCTATAGAAATATATTCGTTTTTTGCTTCAGGTTTTGGAGAAAATCGCAAAAAAGAAAAAAACGTAGTTTTCATTTTTATACTTTCATGAGAAAGATTTACATAAGCAAGCGAATAAATATAACGTGAATAAGTAATGATACTTAAAAATATAATGATAAAAACAATTATTTTTAGAATATTTAAATTCTATGTTATTACGTACAACAATTACAAAAAGCGAAATTCCTAAAAAAACTTTTAAAAAAAATATATACAAGTGCATAAAAAAGAATATTACATTCTTCTTAATAAAAAACAGAAAATAAATACGAAATGCAATTAGCCAAATACTTCACACAAGACACAAGATAGACTGAGAACGACTAAAATGGTCAATTGAATTATAGTGAAGAAAAAATTACGTATCCAGATCGTATGCATTTCTCAACACAGTATTTGAATTATGAAAATATAAAAGTAACAGGCACATATATATATGTGTCTGTTACTTTTACATATATATGTATATATTCATTCCTATTATATATCGTATTCCATATTTTTTTTGTTCATATTAGACGGATAGTTTTAGAATGATAATAATTGACTAATTTGGTACTAGTAATAACTTTACAAAAATGTTTTTTTTTTTTCGTTGTGATCTCGCTGATGATGACTCCAAGTTGGTTGAAACGTTCGAATGTAAAGTAAGTTAAATACAATTTATCTACACATTTAATCAATGTTTGCACTAAGTATCGCACTGAACTCTCATTTGAATTTTCTATATTATTTTAATTTCGGAAGTCCATAACTATTTTTTGATAACTATCATTTCTTGTTTATAAAAATGTGTCTTAAAGTACATATTTTGAAGTTAAATTTTAGTCAACACCAGAGTGAATTTGGCCAAAGCAATGCGATGACAGATTGACTACAAACATAGACCAAACTGACCAAACGTAGATCAGATCCATGGATAAAGTAAATTATGGCTCTAAGGTAAATTAAGCAAACAGCCTTGAAAACTTAACTTACTTAAGATATCAGTTAATCCATAATGAAATTAATTGAATTTAAAGTTAAATGAATAAAAAAAATAATTGGAAAGTTAAAAGTTAAATTTGGTTCAAATGATCACTCAAAAGAAAAAAAAACAATTTGACTGTTAGATAATTTTTTTAGATAATTTTTCATATTTTTCCTTTCTTACAACATATTTATTAAAGAATCACTAGTTATTTTTTTTGCAACTAACGATTATACAATATAAAGATAAAATTACTAAATTATATACTCATCCCTTTGCACTAGTTAGAGTTAACTTCAAAAAAGTCAAATTAAAAGTTAATAGTTATCGATAAAACATTAAGTTAATAAATTAATTTTAATCTAACTTAGTTGCATTTAATTAACTATTTAATTTAATTTTTAACTTTTTCACTTGGCACTACCTAACCCTGATCTGTCGCCAAATACATCGACAGATTGACGCTACAAATATTATATCTTTGAATTTTGTACAGAAATTAATTGCATCAAAAATAGTATTATCAATGTCACTTGCTTTTACTATGAAAGTCTTTTTTAGGGATTCCACTTCGAAAAATTATTTTATTAGAATACGAAAATTCTCATCAATGGAGAGTTTTTATGTATCCAGATACGATAAACGCTAAAGTCACCAGTTAGTGGACATGCGCATTTCGACACCCTAATACTGCATTTTTGGTCGCGTTCAGCAGAATGTTTATTTTGCAACTGTTGGAACTTTCCTCCATTCTAATTGAATTACATTTTCAGATCTAAAAGTATAATCCAATCAGCGCGAATAAAACTTTTACAGTTGCAAAATAAACATTCTGCTGAACGCAACCTTTTATCTTATTAAGTCTGCAAATGCAATAGTATAGTAAACCTTAAGCTTTACCCCACAAACACAATAGAGTAGTAAGCCTTAAGCCTTAAGAAATTGATCAATCACAGTTGAATGTAAGAAAAAGAATTGATTATAACTGTTAATTCCTTAAGATACTATAATTACTTAAGGCTTACTACTCTAATGTGTCTGCAGGGTTAAGGAATTGATCAATACGGTCGATTGTTCTTTTCATATTCGATTGTGATTGGTTAATTTCTTAAGGTTTAAGGCTTACTACACATATTGTGTTTGCGGACTTACCCATATAGTTTTTTTAATTGATTGTGTTCAGCAAAACGTTATTCTGCAACTACTGGAAGTTTTCTTCGTGCTGAATTGAATTATACTTTTAGATCTAGAAGAATGGTTCTATCTCAATAAACAATCATAAAACGATTGCAAAACTGTTGTGTTTTGCTGAATACAGCTATTTACGAGAAGTTGGACGTGGCATCACAACGTTCACTCGCAGTGGTGCCGCGTACTGCTCGCAAGTGTTTTGCTCAATTACATTTAAATTTTGACATTTGGGTATATATTCTTTTGGTTCCTGCTGTCAATCTGTTGTCAATACGTCCGATAGACCTATTGCCCTATTCTGTAAGTCTTAACGATAGTGTCGATATCGTTACAGTATCGTTGAGCAAGTATTTTATATAAAAAATTGCGTAACAACTTATAATAATATCGACATTGTCATTAAAAGTTATAGAATAAGGCCAATCTGTCATGTATTTTGACTGACAAATCCTATGTGTTAATTGCTGCAACTCTCGTAAAACTGCTTGCTGTTAATCGCCATTAATCGTAACTCTCTGATACATAGGTACATATATATATATTGTGGACTAAAGTTGCATATTTGCTGGAAATGCAGTTAATAACAAAGTATATGTTTCCCATTTGCGGGCTTTCAGCAAATATAATTCAGCAAACATAATTGTAGAAAATGTTATAGGGGAACATCTTACTTAATTAAGTCTATTATTAAAAGATAATTAATAAAAAAGAGGATTTAAAAATGCAGTTGCTCATATTTTTCTCCAAGTATTTTTATAAAGTTGTTTTTTACAAGGTCCTCTCATTAAACTAATTTTTAATATTACTTTCAAAGCTTAGTTTAAAAAGTATAATAAAAACATAATTATGATCATATCTTTAATTAATACAGTGTGATAAAAAAATTATTAAAATAATAATGAGAGATATAATTTACATCTAATAATTTTTTTAGTAATTTATAAATTAATAATAATAAAAGAAATCGTATATATCGAATGTCGGTACATAGTATATGAATATGGACGTACAAGTTTTACGTATGAACCAAAGGCTGTCGCCACGGTTCTTACATTTCTGCATTTCCACATATAATTTATTGCATAACGTAATGAATTTTATTGAAAAAAAACGTAATATGTAACAATAAATTCAATTATCAAGATAATTCGAAGAACTTTTAGCTTTTATTTTTTTATCTGAAATGATCAATATTTTATAGTTTTTGTAAAATAAATATTTATCTTACAAAAACTATAAAATATTGATCATTTCAAATAAAACAAAAAAATAAGAGCTAAAAGTTATTTAAAATGTAATAATTATATGATATATATATATATATATACATATATGTGTGTTTTATATGATATATAAAGAAGTATAGCGACTGGTTTCTCAATGATAATCATTAATGATTGGGACTCAATCAGCACATAATAATAAAAAAATATTTTTAAATATTTATTTAATGTAAAAATATTAAATAAATATTAAAAAAATATTTTTTAAATGTTGTGTGTTGCTTGAAGAGCCAATGATATTATTAACCAATAGTAACTGTTGGTCAACTGTAATTTGGCGAAAGTAACTATTGACGTAATAAAAAATGTTTCCTTTTGAATTTAAAAATTTCATGATGCTCCCGAGTGATCACTCATATAACATCCTAAACTGTACCCTGTCTAGCTTTGGTTTACGCGGC